AATTCTAGGATACTCTTTTGAATTTTGTTTTGTCTAGAGTGTGGGGAACGCATCTCATTATTTTCTTAGACCCGTGAAATAGATTAGAATAACACTTTTCGAAACGAAATTCTGGATTATTAATGCGGGGCTTTCGCAAAAGAGGAAACAGGAAGTCTCTATAGGACAAATGCGACGAATCGATCTTAATTGTACTGGAAAACTTAATAGACAGATCTTTATTCTGAAACTAAAAATACGTCATTACTCATCGATCAAACTAGTCAGATATCAATAAAAATAACCTTATGTACAGTATACCCGCGAAAAAGAGGATGATCGTGTTGTAATTTGGATAATTGAAATAGAGCGAACCCGCCGTAAAAAAACAAACAAACAAAAAAACAACAGAAAAAAATCTTTCTTTCTCAGTTTCCCTAGAAAGTTTCCTAAACAATCAAATACATTTTTGGATTTCCGAACTTGGCATCCGTTCCTCGGCCTCCTTAAAAAGAAAAAAAACTTGGACCAACGAGTAATTCATCGAGACTCTTAGGAATCATTGAAGAAAAAATGGTGGCGGAAAGTCTATACGGATACATGTAAATGCTGTTTTCGTAAGCCATTGACTTCAATTGTAAATGCAGTACATGAGTTGGTTTACTAACTCATTGTAAACAACAGGTGAACAGAAAGCTATACATCAGATACAAGGAATATATGAAGTCCATATATTTGAACTGCGGTATTAAATACGTATGATGCACGATCCTTCGCAGTAGATAGCGCTATTTATGCAATAGCGAAAATCAGACCTGAAAAAAATCAGGCCTGTACGGGCCTGAATCGAATCCCGTACAGGCCTGATTTTTTTCAGGTCTGATTTTCGCTACTGCATAAATAGCGCTATCTACTGCGAAGGATCGTGTATCATACGTAGAAAGCCATACTGCCGCAAAAACAAACCTGGGAACCTAAAATTTAAATTTACTAAAACTTTACTTTCAATAAATGTTCACTTTCGCCGCTCCTGCTTCTTTTTGAATACCTCTTCTATCTAGGCTCTGGGCTGGTGCCTTTAGTTGGTGCTCCGCAGTCCAACAAGATGACACGGGATGAAGAAGATGAACACAAATCCGCCCTTGATGTAGCTAATCCTGACGAAATACTAAAAGTAAGCCCACGACGACGAAAGAAGGTTGTGACCTTCGCTAGCTTGGCAGATCTCGCACAGGTACAAGCTTTGGCCACCAATGAAGCAGACTCTAACACTTTGGAGTTAGAGAAAGCAGATGGTTCCGAAGAACCAACGCAAGTGGCCCAACTTGATCCAAGTCATTTCTTGAATATGCCTCTAGAGGACTACGATGCCACTGGCAAGAATGTATGTACAGCCATTGTAAATTCATGACTTTACATGGGGTGAGAATTATACAGAAGAGTTTTTTTTTTTATCTCACACAGGTTCCGGCTGATGATACCTTTCTCGTGCTACGTCAGCATGGGACCACATCGATTGGGCATCACATGTTCCGGTTCAACAGAGCTCGATCTTTGTGGCTCCTTGGACCTTTGCACCCTCTTAGAAGGTGGACCATAAGTTTGGTTACCAATCCGTATCCTTTGCATGCATTTTCAGCAAGTTTAAAGGTGTTTTGAGTTTCCTGAGGGATATGACTATTGAAGAATTGCTTCACGATAAAAAATTGGCGATAAAAAAGGGACGACATTTCGACCTCCCGCCGAGGTCATTTTCAAGTGAGTAAAAGTTTTCTAAATTAGCATAAAAATGAAGAAAAGGTGAAATGGGTAAAAATTTGGCGAAAGCTAAAAGTGTGATAAAATATGTAATAAAGTGTTAAGGATATTTGTGAAGTAAAAACAATGGAATAATAATAAAAAACTTTTCGAAACGCATAATTTGGCGCTAATTGAATCGCACTGTTTGTTTAGTGTTGGTTTGAGTTCTTTGATAAAAACATTTCAAAAATAAGACAGTCATATTTGTTCTGACACTTTCTTAAGATTCTGAACTTTGTGCAATGTCGTCTGGCTCCGTATCATGCTGCTCTCTGAGGTGGTTTCCGATTGCCAATCCTTTGTGTTCCTCAATTCGTTGGTGAAGGTGTCAGCACGCGTAGCCGACACAGCCTGCATCGCACAGGCCACACTGAAATGAATACACCACGTATTGTTGACTCACAAGAGGTGCTTGTCTTCCTTGACCTTAATTTCATCCTTTATCTTTCTACTTGAGTAAACCGGACTAATATCTGCGTTGATCTTCCGACTGAGGTCAGCAAGCTGTCTATGTACTACGCTCGCAGATTTTTGATCTTTGAAGGGCAACACGATTCTGATTGGGGCTTCTCTTTTATCAAATGACTTGGGTACGTGAATCCTCGGACACTTTTCATCAATTAGTTGGCGGATGGTAGACTGCCCAAGATCGTCTGGATGGCCCAGTCTGGAGATGATCTGTTTGAGGCGTTCACATTCCTCGTGAGAAAACTACCACGTAGAAGAGAGTTGAAACGCACGGCTTAGCATGATGTTCAGCAGTGACCGTTTGTATCTGGCGTCAACGTGGCTGTGGTAGTGTAGCAGAAGTCCTGTGTCCATTGGTTTTCTGTAAACCATGGTGTCTAGGTGGGAACCATTCCTGATGATACCTATTCCGAGAAAGGGAAGCCTGCCATTTTCTTCGAGCTCCATTGTAAAATCGATAGAGGGATGACTCTTGTTTAATGTCATCGGGAATTCTGAGGCTACTTCCGGATTAGGCATTGCGCTAAGATGTATCATCTATAAAGCTTTTGTAGAATGTAAGCAACTTGTTCTCTGTTTCAAGCTGTTTCTCGATTTTGCACATGAAGGCATTTGCCATGAGAGGACTCAGTGGTGAGCCCATAGCCACACCGTCCACTTGTTCGTACAAGTTTCCTTCAAACTAATAGAGCTGACTTTTTGTGGCGATTCTCAACAGCTTCATCAAATCCAACTTCGTGATGTTAAGATCGTATTCTCTGTTAAACCAGTCGTCTTCAAAGGCTTTCTCTGCGATAATCTCGATGGTTTCATCCGATAGAACATTAGTAAAGAGTGAAGATGCATCATACGACACCTGAACTTCATGGTCTTTGATTTTCTTTTCACGCAGTTCGTCGGTAACAACAAAAATGTCGCTGACGGTTATGCTCGTTGACGGACAGGGGCCTTAACTTTTCGTCCAGCCACAATTTGACTGTCTTATTTTTTAAATGTTTTTTATCAAGAACTAAAACCCACACTAAACAAACAGTGCGATTCAGTTCGCGCCAAATTATTTGTTTAAAGTAGTTCTTATTATTATTCCACTGTTTTTATCTTATAAATATGTTTAGCACTTTTTTACATATTTTATCCCATTTTAGCGTTCGCCACATTTTTACCCATTTCAAATTTTTCTACATTTTTATACTAATTTACAAAACGTTCACTCGAAAATAACCTCGGAGAGGTCGAAACGTCGTGCTTTTTAGCGCTAATTTTTATCTCGAAATTGGTCTCTAAGAAATTACCTATTAGGAATTACTTCATCAAAGATAAAAATGATTTCAGTAGAATGGTGAAGGAAAAGCTTTAAAGTGTCTTTAAAGTATCTACTCTGTCGCCATGTCGTTCGAAAATGCTTGCATCCAAAGTGTTACATAGCATCCGTCGTTTTTCTTGATCACTTCACGCAAGATATTTTGAACTGATTATCATTCTGGTGATTTTGGTAAATTGCGTGTTCCTCGCGCTAAAAGACCCTCATGAGGAAGCCGAGTAAGTATCGCTAATTTTTTATCGCTAATTATTAGATTCAGCGGGGTTTAAAAACACCTGAAAGGTGAACCCAACTAGGCTGCAAATGGCTTTAAAGATAGATAGATAGATAGATAGCTACTTTATTAATAACCGATTTGCAACCAAAAGTTGACTTGTACGATTATTTACAAGTTTCAAACATTGATAATTACGTTAAATAGACTAAATGTATTAAAACAGTAATAAGGACACTAAATATATGTTCTAAAAAAAAAAACGTTTGTATAAAACCGTTCAAGCCTTAAGGGCATTGAAGGTAATAAAACTATTACGAAACCTGTTCGTCTTAAAAACTGGCTTAAACTTCCGCATATTTCTTAGGTTAAAGGTACATGTGTTGCGAGTAGGAAAAAGTTCATGGAGCTAGTTCTGTTCATTTTGTAAAACATCCTTAAATAGTTTATCAACTAGTTTCTGGCGGCGATCTGAGAGTTTAGTCAGGCCTGATTCAGCCAAGGCATTGTATGAGCAAAGAGGAAAAATAATGCGCGTAGCCCGCTTTTGTATTTCTTCAAGTTCGTTGGAGAGGTACACGGGGAGGCTGTCATGGAAGACAGGACATGCATACTCTGTAATCGGACGAATACAAGAGCAGAAAAACTGGACTAACTCACGGGTACCAAGACCAGAGCGTTTAAGCTGAGATAAGCAATACAAGTGCTTTTTAGCTTTCTTAATAATGGAGTTAATGTGACAATTCCATTTCAAATCATTAGAGATGTTAAGGCCTAGTATTTTGGCACTAGTAGTTAGGTCAATGGGCTTGCCATTAACAACAACAACGAAGGTTAAACTTCCCTTCCCTCCGCTATTTGGTCAAACCTGTACAAAGAGCTTCGACTGTATGAGACAAATTAAACTATATGTATTGTCAAAAGAGGATGATTCTCCATCTTTTAAATATCTTTGACACTATCTAAAGTAAAAAAAAGGAATGGTTAATGTACATGATTTTTGACTCGGATGGTCTTATTCCTCATCATATCGTCATTTCCACCTGTTTCAAAATGTTTGCGATAACTTTGATTCAACATAACAGTATCTCTCTGTTTGTCGATTTTAGGTACGTGTTCACTGCAATATACACTCTCGAAATGCTATTGAAGATCATATCACGTGGACTTATGCTTCACACGTACGCCTACCTCAGAGATGCTTGGAACTGGCTTGATTTCATAGTTGTTGTTTTGGGGTGAGTTTACAGCACTAGATAGGCGTATGTGTTGCTGTAGAAAGGAGAGAGGTGAAGTCCCTTCAAAAATTATACTCCAGGTATATCAATCTTGGTAACTCTTTCATGGCAATATTAGGATTGACGTAGATCGTTCATACAAACGTGCGGCCCTCGTGGCTCTTGATTTCAGATTTTGGATATACGTGTAGATCCAGGTTTCTCACTGGGTTATCATTTTAAAATGATTTACGTTTGGCGGGAAGAAGCAGAATAATACCAGTTCAGTTCACGACAGACAAAGCAATGTTCATAACTGGAGCATCAAAAATTATGACATCATTCTAATTCAAAATCGAGTGTTCTATACATCGGCGCCTCTTAAAAATGGACCAGCTGACTGTCAAATACATATATCAATTTTGGCTTCAGGTACATCACGATGGCTCCAAAAATCGCAAACTTCACGGCAATACGAACAGTCCGTGTCCTGCGGGCTCTAAGGACAATATCCGTTGTTTCAGGTAGGTGCAATAGCCCTTCCCTTTTGTGAAAGTTGCATTATTCTTTTTTAATCTGACTGTACAACCTGGATAGGAGAAGACAGCTCCCTCTGGCTTTGAAGTTATTTTGACACTTATGCCTGTAAGCAATAGCACCGTTCAGCTGGTGGCCAGTATCCAATACCTTTTCATTGATGGTTGATTCAAGTAGTTTAATAATTTACAAATTATAAAGTTTATTTCTACAGGTCTCCGAGCGATGGTGAACACCTTACTCCGTTCGTTAAAGCTTCTGAGTGACGTCCTGGTTTTGTTTCTGTTCTTTCTCGCTGTCATGGCGCTTATTGGTCTGCAGCTGTTTGTTGGAGAATTAAGAAATAAATGTGTTCGTGACCCGACAGCTAACTTTACTGACGACCTAGGAGGATATATTCAAAATGAAAGTAAGAAATGATAAAGAACCCAGTATGATCAACCCGACTCAGCAGCTGAATCTCCCTCTTAGCGCAAATAATGAACCAGTTCGCTCTGTATTATGCAAATTTGAGAGTCAAAAGGGAATGGTTACAAGTTGTTTGAAAATTAAAAAAAAGAAATAATACACATTTTAGTGCACATTTTATAAACTTCATAGATCGACTCCGTCTTTTATACATTCACCTGTCCTACTTTCATCGAGAGTGGTTAACTAAGACTGAATTAATGGTGAAGATGTTTAAACATCAATTCTTTGCAGGTGCCTGGCTCCTGCAAAATGGTGAACCTGTTGTTTGCGGAAATTCCTCTTGGGCAGGGTAAGTGAAGAAAGCAGATGCGACAACTTTTTACCAAAAGTGAGACATCATTAACTCACCATTTCTATACTGCACTGTAAGAAAATTCTCGCATTTAATACACACAAATAAATTATGTTTGATGGAGTAAAGATCTTCAGATTTGGCCTTGTCTTAAGTGACGACTTTTGGCTTGTCTGGTAGCTTCAGGTGTTTTAATTTCGTATGTAAAATAAGGGGAGAAAAAAAAGACCAATTAACAACAACAACAAATACAGAAAAATTGATATGAAGAAAGAGACTACGATAACAAAATCTGATGTGTATTCTAAAATAAAACGACCACATGAATGAATTATTTTCAGTTCTTGTCCTGTTAATTACACTTGTATGGCGGACGCTGGACCTAACCCTGATTATGGCTTTACCAGTTTCGACCACATTGGTTGGGCATTACTAATGGCCTTCCAGATCCTCACAATGGACTACTGGGAAAACCTTTACAACAAGGTAAGACTGACTCTGCAGTTGCTGATATCGATATTGATAAATACTCTTAAGTTTCAGTTTGAATTGAGATGTAGTTATTGGAGAAAAACTGCCGACAATAGCACGATACTTGTAGGCAGATTCAGCATGAACTACAGAAGAAACTTACGTTCAATTAAACCATATTTTCGTCCATTAACAACAGGTTGTAAGAGCCGTGGGTATCTGGTATGTCTTCTACTTTGTGATCACCATTTTCTTCTGCTCGTTTTATCTTCTCAATCTTGTGTTAGCCGTAGTATACCTCTCCTATGAGAAAGAACTGCAATCTCTTGAACACGAGGTAAGTGAGATGATAAGCAACAACAATGATTTTTCTTGCCATCGTGATGTTATTAATATTCATGCTCATAATAGACAGGGCTGAAAGCCGATGAAAAACAAAAAAAACAGAAAAAAAAGGTCTTTCACACTTGGAAATGTGAAATGAAAATCAATTTAAGTTCAAATCATCACAGGAAAGTTCTTCAAGAATTCAAAACTCTAATCTACTGTTTAGACTACCATTACCAACGCCCATAGAAATAATTGGAACTCATTAGGAGTCCTTGTATGTTCTTCTAACGGAATGTATATAGCTTTTTGCAGTTATCTCGTGTTAGTGAATGAAAGGAAGAATCTGTTCTTTACCAATAATTTGATGATCTCAAGCATCTTTCATTCCTCGCTTTGGGCTACCCTCGATGAAGCTCCTTTAAGATATCTGTAAAGCATTTAAAAACGATTAACTAGGTAAGACCTTTCATTTATTTTGAAAGGAAAGGCGCAAGGAGCTTTTGAAGAAGACTGCCGCGTCCTATATTGCAGATTCCGACTCAGTTAAGGTTCTCAAGCCACTGAAGAAACTCAGAAAGACCAGGAAAGCTATGGCAGAATTAACTCAGGCCGCCTGTATCGTTACAGAAGTTCCAGAAGTTCAGCGAGGAGATGCGAGCAATCAGCTAAGCTTAGCGAAAACCGTGATGACATTCTTCCAACATGTGAAGACAAAATGTGATAATTTTTTCAACAAGTTTCCGTTTTTCAAGCCCATGAGAAAGAGTATGCGTGCTGCCGCTGAATGTGCCACTTTTGACGTAGTCATCATAGGGATAATCTTGTTAAATACCATTGTACTTGCTCTTTATCATTACGGAATTGAAAAGTCATTCGAAAATGTCCTGGACTTGTGCAATATGGTAGGAAAACTTTGTAATTGATGTTTAGATTACCCTTTCATGTTTGCCTTTGGCAAAGATAGCATGGGAAATTTCCAATCTATAGCCTTAGTGGAGTTCGTCATATACCTAAGATAGGTCACCTTTTTCCCATCTCGAGTGACTAGAAATATTTGAAACGTGCAATTATCAGTTTAGGAGGTGCACATGTCGTACATTCGATATTGTTTTTGTCAATTGAGAATGTTAAAGAGTCTCTGAGTACTTTATTTCTAAGGCCTCATGCTGATTAGAACCTGGATTATCAAAACTTCTGATATCACTGTCTCCACACAGATTTTAGAGCGTAAGATGATAAAATCAGACTTGCTTGGATAGACTGCAAGGAACTGCCTCTCAGACTCTCTCCCCTAATTGTTGCTTTAATTTCAAACTTTGTCTACAGGTTTTCACGATAATATTTGTGGCGGAGATGATATGGAAGCTTATCGCCTTTGGCCCGCTGACCTACGTGAAGAGCCGGTGGAACGTATTTGATGCTGTCATCGTGATTGCTAGTGTTGCTGGGTATCTTACGGAGTCCGGTGGAAGCTTTAGTATCTTTCGAAGCCTAAGACTGGTACGTTGCAACCGAGAAAAAAAATTGAACTTTTGATCCAATATTTTATATATATGCCTTGTACGTAAGGAATCAGAATGACCCAGCATTTTCGCAGTAGATGTTACTAATACTTTTTGACCAAACCGATAATAGATAACGGTCTTGAAGTCATAAAAAATTACGGGTAGAGAAAATTTGAGAATTTGGCGATACTCCATAACACCTATACGAAGTTATGTGCACGATCAGCTTGACCGAAAACTGTTTTTATAACCTTACAAAGCCTTCGTGTTGAAATATTTATGTTGGTGTTGACCAACTGTAACGATATCAAACAATTTTTTTATCCAATAATTCTAGTTCCGAGTATTAAATCTTGCACAATCATGGAAGACAATGAACAAATTAGTCACTGCCATAACCAAGAGCGTGGGGCCTGTTGGGAACATAACTCTCATTCTTGGTGTCATCATCTACATATTTGCTGTAGTAGGAATGAGAGTATTTGGTGACGCTTACACGGAAGACAAGTTTGGCAATGATGGAATACCTCGCTGGAACTTCAATGATTTTTGGCACGCGTTCATGATGGTGTTCAGAGTGCTGTGTGGGGAGTGGATTGAGCCTCTTTGGGACTGCATGAGGGCCACCAGTCCATTGGCCCTTCTTGTCTTCTTACCGGCATTTGTCATTGGTAACTTCATTGTGAGTACTTATGGCCTACGTATTCATTATATTGACCTTAACTGAGGTTAACGTAGTCGAAGTCCTTTTGAAGATTTATATGGAAAGAAATGTCGAGCATGATCCGCTTAAGAAATCGAATGTGAGATTAAGATTATGCAAATAGTAAGACAAATTGAGATCATTAGGCTCTTTTGCTCAGGCTTTCTCCTGCATTTACTGCTGCTAACCGGGGGATTTCCCACTTTTTCATCTTTCTATTTTTTTCAGATAAATGGAGCTTAGTGCACCATTGATTCCCGTGGCTGGAACACAAAAATATGGGATTTTGTTAGGTCTGTCATTTCCAATTTTACTTTGGTATTCAACTCATATCCTGTCACGTTCACTTTAGGTTCTCAATCTTTTCATTGCTCTCTTATTGAGTGCATTTGACTCTGAAGAAGAAGAAGAGAGTACCTCAGATGACGACGAAGAACAAAACTCCAGGTTGAGACGCATCTTTAAGAGACTAACCAAGACTAAAAAAACCCGCTTGTTTGTGGCCACTTTCAAAGAAAGGTACAAACTGTACGAGGTGCAGTTGTTGGAAAGCAACGTCACAACGCAGGGAAGCCCGACAAATAAACACGAGGAAAGAATGACAGGCAAGTATCTCGGGAAGTTCCAGCAAAGGAGTAAGCAATTGCAATCAGTCGTCAATCGATTTATTGATTTCACTGCATACTGAGCTCGAGTTTTCATAGATCACTTTTTAATAACATTGCACTGCTTTCGTTGGGCATTTTTTCAAGATGACGACACAACTTGGTTCATAGTCTGTTAGAAGGCTTTGGTCTGTGTATTGAAAGACATGTAGCTCAAGATTATCATTTCTACGAGTTAAGAAGAAACGAAGATTTCAAGTTAATTCTTATAAAACATGAAATATTTATAATTTTAGGCGGAACGCAAGAAATGACTTGTGAGGATCAATCGTCAAAAAGAACACCTAAAAAATACCTTGTGGAAGTGGATGACTGTCTGCCTGAGTGTTGTATGTTCTCCATGTCATCGCGTTTGTATTTTAGATGGTTGAAGTTCCGGTGTAGTATCAGGTGTCTGGTGGAGCACAAGTACTTCGAGTGGTTCATTCTTTTTACCGTCATGTTTAGTAGTTTCGTGCTGGTAAGAGAAAAAACCGTAATCTAAGGTCATATTCACAGCTGAGTAGGATTTTAGCACAAAGTTTTTCTTGAAAGGGATTTTAGTGATTGATCAAAAGCTGTGGTTTCGGCAGGAAATTTTAACTTGTCAAAATCCTTGAGAGGGCAAAGACTGAAAGAGCCCTATCGTTTCAGCACCTACAAACTGCTTGAAACTGCAGAAGCCATTCTTTATCTCTAGATCACATGCATATTCATTAATTCTACTCAGCTTAACCATCTTAGTATAGGTAACCATAAGCTCGATACTAGTTATTGCATGACCAATAATCCTTGTGAAATAACAACAACAAATCGGGACTAGGCATTAGAAGCTATTTGGAAAGATTAACTACCGTATATCTTGTTAGATTTTTGAAGACATCCACCTCCCAGAAAGGCCACTCTTGGCAAAGGCTTTATATATTTTGAACTACTTCTTCGCTGCTGTCTTTTCTCTGGAGTTTCTCCTCAAGATTTTTGGTCTTGGTGTCGTCAAGTATTTCTCGTCAGTTTGGAATTGTTTGGACGCATTTATCGTCGCAGTAAGTTAAGGCATTGACACGAATAAATGTGTTTTTATATATTAATAATCATGAACTCAGGTGAGTAGCTAAGTATCCAATTAAAGAGAACCAAGAAGGTAAAGATCGTACACAAGGAGCCCATAAAAACTCAAGTGTTGACGAGGTCAATGGTGATTAAAGTTCTGCTTCATTGGTTATGAGGATGGGTGGATTTCTGAAGGAAAATGAAACATGAAAGAAATAAGGAAATTAAAATAAAACGAAACTCGGTTCCTAGCTCTCACTAACATCTGTCAGAGAGCCAAAGAGCCAAAGGTTCAAAGTTCAACTACTCATGGTGACTGACCTGTTTCGTTGTTCAATGTCCATGCTAAGACAAAAAAAGACCTCTTTAGGGTGATAATAAGTGTGAAAAATATCAACCTGGGCTGATATATTTTGATTAAAAAACTGTTGATCTCGAATTATAAGGGACGTGCTTTAAACATTGTGGAGTGAAAGAGCTTAATTAGAGGATAAAGAGGACAACCATAATGGACCTTTTATCTGCAAGGTTGTTTCGCTCAAATCCTGAAATGTCTCTGACGCAATTAATACATTGTTCCAGTCCTTGTGGTTCTCCAGACGTACTTAGAAGAAATACGGACTAACTTATTACTAACGTTAATTTTTCAGATATCGCTTGCTTGTCTTTCTGAGAACAAACAGTTATCAGTCTTCCGATCTCTTCGCACGCTACGGGCATTGAGGCCTCTCAGGGCTATATCTCGCATGGAGGGGATGAAGGTACATAAACTGAGAACTCAGAATTTTCAAAAATAAAATTAGCAACTTTAGATAGGAACTATGCTTTCTGAAATTTAAGTTGAAAGCTTGAAGGCCATCAAGAGGAGACAATGACACCTGAAATGATAGGTTTGTAGAAGTGCATCGTAGTTAATCGTAACCTTATTTCGAAAAGGCACTTATGAAGTAATTTTTTTGTTTAAAGATAATTAGCTTACAGCCTCCAACCGTGAATATGTGTGAGAACTTAGGATATGATAAAGCGTTCAAGAAGCTTGTTTACTGTAGAAAGATTCGTCATACGTTTAATGTCTTTGCTTATCACGGAAAGGTTCAAATAAACTGCTTTAAATCTCTTTTGTTCATAACTGTGAACATATGAAAATCATAATTGTGAACTGCGGGTGAAGAAATAACTATCAAAGCGATCTTCGAAGAGGTAATGGGTTCAAGTCCCGTACAGGCCTGAATTGTTTTGAATAAATGGATTCCGTCGTTATGAATTGAGGGACAAACATAAAAACTTAGGTAAAATTTTGAAGATCAAGAACAACTCATATTGCATGATATTGCGTCATTAAGGAATGTGTGGGAGATCACCTCTGAACCTTTGATTACTCTCACGTATGCCTCTTGTCACTACTTTTTTCCCATTTTTATATTCACTTTTGCTTCCATTCATCAATGCATCCATTCATGACTCGTTTTAATGCCTTCAGGTTGTCATCAACGCATTATTTGCAGCCATTCCAGGTATCGGTAACGTTCTCGTGGTATCGCTCCTCTTTTGGTTAATATTCAGTATCCTTGGTGTCCAACTGTTCTCCGGAAAGTTCCAAGAATGCGTAGATCAAGATGGTGAAAGAATTTCAGCTAACGTTGTTCGAAACAAAACAGAGTGCCTCCGCTTTCCGGAGAAATACACTTGGAGGAATGCCGAGGCCAATTTTGATAACGTTTTCAATGGCTTCCTTGCACTTTTTCTTGTGGTATGGATAACATTACTTTTTATTTTCTGCTGGAATGAGGTTTATCAGTTTAAGACGTATATGAATCGGTTAGTTGAATCATACTTCTATTGTACAAGAGCAGGAAACAACATGAAAAAAGGAAAAATCTCATTGTGTGATGATATCATCAAAGTAGATGGAAGTTATGAATTTCTTACTTCAGTTCACATTTACAAGGGTAGTTGTAGAATCCATGAGTCCCTTACATACAAGGGTTTCCTTTTCAAAGTTTCGGTCGCTTTTGCCTAAGACCAAAGAGAGTGGACGTTCACACAGAAACAAGGCGAAGGGTGTTACGGAGCCCATCAAGAGAATTTTGAATAGTCGCAACATTAAAGTTTCTCAAAAACTTTCCCAGACTTTAGGGCATGTTTTTTTCCAAACCTAAGGATCTTGTTACGAAAGAACAACGAACCGAAGCTATTTATTCTATTCCTCGAAATGACTGTGATCACGAGTGTATCAGACAGACCAGACGTCAGTTTAGTATACTTTTGAAAGAGCAGCGGAAAGCGGTCTTCTTTTGCAAAAAAGAAAATTCAGCATTTTTGGAGCACACATGCCTAACTAACCACACAATTGGGTGGGATAATTCTAACTGATTATCATTATTAATCGCCGCTACCAATGGCGCCTTTGTTTGGAAGCTTGGCAGATCAACTCCGCCCACGCTTCTTTAAATTGTAAAGATGGCAGCTTACTACCTGACGCCTATTTACACCTCGTTAGAAAAAAGGGCAGCTAACTAGAGATCATATAAAAGGGTCTATTGTTGCAACGATCAGATCATCCCTGACGAAGGCAGTAGACAGGAGTGTCGAAACGTTGGGTCGAATTATAATTTCTCTGGTTACGTTCTTTACATCTTTAAACCCGAGTAGCATCAAACCATGTCTGATACTTCACTGAAATTTCTTCTCGTCTTGTGTTGTGATTTAGGCAACGTTTGAAGGTTGGGTTGGAGTCATGCACAGTGCAGTAGACTCCACTGAGGTAAGACATCATGTTTGATTCAAGATCCACGCTGCCCGCTGCACATTCCTCATAATTTTACCCTTAACAACCGATGCTTGGTCAAACCATATCTCTTCGCAATTTCTTACGTCTCATGACCCATACACTCGAAGACTATTTTATTTCTATTGTACGATGATACTCCTTTCAGACCTTAGACTCCTTGGAGTGAATTCGAAAATTCTGGAGGACGTTTTTCCCGATATTCTTCGTCGATCAAAGTTTTCGTCAACCGGAATTAGTGAAACTTTTACTAAAAGTATTTTTAAAAACATTACTATATGCCGCCCAGGTACTTTTCACGCGCACCGACTCGCTAGGTCGGGAGTGATTAGCAAATACTTTTCACCTCTGAGCAGCCGAAGAGACAAAGTCGCGCGTCACGAGTTTAATTTACGACCATTTAGCAGTATGATGTATTGACAGAAATAGACTAATTTTTGGTTTTGGTCTGTTATACATTAAAACAGTAGCTTACCTCATTGTCGTTAAATAGTAGTGGGTATTTACCTCCACTTCGGCAAATGATTTCTAACTATTGGTGTGGACAAGCAAAAAGGAAACAAAAGGGATCTAGAGCATTAACATGGGTTGCAATAAAAATAAATAAGCTTGAGCCATGATATATATCCTTTCCGTTTACCGATTTTTTCTTCACAGGTTGACCAACAGCCCCAAAAGGATAGCAATATGATTGCATATATATATTTCGTTGCATTTATTATCCTTGGGTCATTCTTTGTGCTCAACTTGTTTGTTGGTGTTGTTATCGACAACTTTAATTCCTTGAAGAAGAAGGTATGTGCGAACGAATGTTGCTGGTAATTCTACATTTAAGGTTAACTATCGGTAACTGTTTATAAAAATATTTAATTTACAGCGATAGTATCCACTTAGTAACTCCGAGGACGTAAAGAGACTTGTTCGATTTTGCTTGGTTTCGCTGGAAGTCTTGATCTTGAGAGATCACAGTGAGAACCCTTTTTAGCGTTGGACTGAAAGTAGGTACTATAGGCTTACTTCACGTTTTAGGCACGGGAAATTTTGCCTGGAAAAGCCCTGTTCCTGATATCATGTAAAGCCATCTGTGTAATTGTCTAACAAACACAATAAGAATAGGAGAGCTTCCTTTTTGCAACTCGCATCTTGTATTATGTACCTTACCTTACACTACCTCATATCTGAGTGAAGCGTAGAATAAGTAGTTTTTATCGTAAAGTATAGAACATTATGTAACTGAAAGGGGAAACTCAAAGTGCTTAGGTGAACTTGAAATTAAATGGATTGAAACTTATTGACTGTAAATTTGAAATTTACAGTATGAAGAAATTAACAGCATGGGAATGTTCCTGACAGAGTCTCAAAGGAAATGGGTCAACTTCCTGAAAGAGGCAGCGAAGAAAAAGCCCCAAGCGAAAGGAATAAGACCAAAAGTAAATGTGGAAGTGTTAAATAGCAACTTCTTAAATTCTTTCATTAAACTCAAATCACTAGAAACTTTGCAATCGTGATTCATCTCTTAACAGGATCGATTTCGTGCCTTCCTATATGACGTAGTCACAGGAGACAAGTTCGAGATCGCGATTCTGACGGTGATAATATGCAACATGGTGATGATGATGATACAACATCATGGACAATCCGAGCAATTCTCTAGCGTTTTAAATATCCTTTGTATTTATAACCTCGTATGGTGCAAGTCTAATTTTTATTTGGGATAAAAGTATCCATTAGAGAGGATTTTAACTGAGTGACAAGAGAACAAACCCACAGCAGACTGAGAGGCTAACTAAGTGAAGGTGATCAAATTTACTGAGTCTATAAAAATTAAAGCAGTAAATGAAGAAATAGATAAGTAGCGAAATGGATAAAGAAAAAAATATATACAAAATAATAAAACAAAAAATTAACGAATATGGGAATAACTGAAGAATAAAGCATGTATAAGTTTTGTTATATCCGTAACCATTGCCTAGATTTATCAATCAAAAACAATTACTTTGTGTACAATTTCTTTGACTATAGCTTCTGACTAGCACGAATATCAAATTTGGTGTTCACGGGTATATTCACTGCAGAGGCCATGGTGAAACTAGTTGCTTTACGACAGCACTACTTCAGGAAGGCGTGGAATGTATTTGATTTTGTCATAGTAATATCATCTCTAATAGGTAAGGATTTCAATACTTCCGAAAGAAGCCTTATTGGAGAGCAGCGAGGGGGATAGGGTAAGGGGCGGGGAAGCTTAATTAAGGTCATTGAGGGCTAAAAATACTGATTTTGTTCCTATCCCCTGACTGTCGGCCAGCAATTATGGAAAATGTCTTGTCAGGAGAGGGGGGCTTCTTGAAAAGCTTTTCAGAAAGTTTTCGTCACACCTGTTTTTGCTGTATTCAAAGTTTTTCATCTCCTTCTTTATAACCTTAAAAATGTCAATGCTTATTACAAACACCAAGCCTGACTGATTGAGTACCTCGCCAGGGGGCAAGGGTAAAATGAAAAAAAAATTTTAGTCTTTAAAAGGCCTTGCCGTCATGTCAGCCATGAATAATTTGCAGTTTTCATCCAATAAAGATAACACATATTTCGTTTCATAGGAGTGGTATTGGACGAGGTCAGCGTCAGGGACACAGTGGTTAATCCAAGTCTCTTGCGTGTGATGCGGATCTTTAGAATCGCCCGACTTCTGCGGGTCCTGGAATTTGCAAAAGGTATTCGCCAGCTTCTGGTGGCTCTTATGATCTCGTTACCTGCGTTATTCAACATTGGAACTTTATTGTTTCTCGTCATTTTTATTTACGCCATTATCGGCATGTCCGCGTTTGGTCGCGTAAAGAAGCAAGGAAACCTGGACGATATTGTCAATTTTGAAACGTTTGGTAGTTCTTTGATGCTTTTGTTCCGACTGTCCACGGGATCAGGCTGGAATGACGTCATGACTTCACTGTCAATTCAGCCACCAGACTGCGACCCTTACTATAAGGGATATCCAAATGGCGATTGTGGCACGCCTTTAGGAGGAGCAGGATATCTTATCAGCTACATTGTCGTCGTATTCATGATAATTGTTAACATGTACATCGCTGTAATTCTCGAGAATGTTAACCGCGCGCACGAGAACGACGATTTTGCTATCACTAAGGAGGACTTTGAAAGGTACTACCTTTAGTGGGCTGCATTTGTGCCAAATGGAAAACAATTCATCCCTTTAAGCCAGCTTTCGGATTTCGTGGATGAGTTGGACAAACCTTTCAGACATCCTAAACCAAATGAATCTCGTTTGCGTGAGCTAAATATACCAATACGTGCTGGGGAGCTGATCCACTGTTTTGATCTTTTGAAGGCGCTGGTACGGTGCACCTTAGAAGAACATGGTGAGTCGTCGGAGGTATTCCAGGAAATAACTGTCAGAATGGAGGCTCAGTTTACCAAGTCCCTCGGTAGGAAGCACTCCATTGCCATTCTGGGTTCTACGCAGACAAAATTTCAATGTGAAGACAAAACTGATATGGTGTAGGAGAGAAGCATTTAAGCATTAAAGGAGTGGAAAGGTCGGAGCTGTTTTGGCTACCAAAGCAGAAAAAAAACTGCCCTCAGTTTTATAGGAAATGTGTGAACCCTTGTCATGGGGTGCCACGCTTCAAACATTTTCTGGTCATGGACACTATAGTTCTTAGAATAAAGAAAAGTCGCAGCTTATTTTACAGAAGCCTCGCTGTGAATATCATTATTACGTACTAGGTGAACACCAAAGATAAAACTGTTCACAGGTGGTTTTAGGAAGTTTACAGTGCCTGTGGGGGGCTTCAACTGTCATGAAATGTTGACGAAAAGGACTTGTATAGTTGCAATATCAGTTTCCTTCAAGAAGAACATGATAATCTTTCACGTAACCATTTAAAATCGCACTCCTTTTATGTTATGTTCGCTAGTGATAATTAATTCAGATATGAGTATTGTTTAGATTGTTAAATGACTCCCCGGGCTACCAAGATGCAAATTCCTGTGAAGTCGAACTATTTTTGAGAAATCAGAGGCATTGCTAATTGTTTGTAATGTTGTAAGGGGTATTTGATTTTTTGGGGTTGTATAATGTAAATCAAATTTGTCCTTTGCATTTTAAAGATTCTCTTTCTGAACTGTCTATGACTACCAAGTGGATTTGTAGAAAAATATTACCTTTAAACCTGATGTTTGATGAGTATCGTCATTAATATTCCTTAATATTTCGTTAATTGTTAAATAAGAAAATCTAGCAAGGCAATTTAAGTCTGTTGCATCTATCAACTTTGAAATAAACGAGGCGAGGTAGCCATTAAGTTCCAAAATTGATAGTCCCTACTGGTTAATCATAGTGAGATGAACGAAATGATTTAGGGTGTCGCGATGTTTTCCAACCTGCAAACGACCATTCATTGAAAAAAAATTTGTTTCAAGTTTCCAGTACATGTGCCGATTGTAACAAAAAGGATATGATCTACCTTATCCAAAATCTCGGTTCTCTTAATAGTAGATAAATTTATCCCATTTCGCTTCTATCACTCCCTTTCCATAACATGAATTCGTTGTCCCACTCTTTGCAGACCTAAAATACGGGGTGTTTTGGTGTAGTCACAAATCGCCTTCGATTCTCTTCGGCGCATGCGTAATTTTAAGTCACATGTAAGCCTCACAAGCTGATTGTAAAACATACAGAAGCACTATTTGGAATGAGTAAATTTTCCACGTGCTTTTCAAATGCTATTTAGGCGCCTTACTCGTCAAATAAGTGTGGTAAATGTTTTAAAATAGTGCAAAGGTAAGTTTGCCTTTACAAGCGCTTGAGTACAAGAAAATATGCGTGTAGTTTAGGCGTCTAATTTTCTTTCACACACGTTTTTCTCCCCCGTACAAATGAAAATATTCCTAAATGTTTAAATTTCTGCGGAACGTGCAACTTCGGTTTGAAAATGATAAAAATAGACATTGCTGAATCCAGACAGACACGTTCTTTCGATCGCACACTAAGGGTGATATCTAGCACGCTAAACAAAACAAAAGGTTTGGCCTGACAACTAATCTCAAACAATGTGAATAGTGTTCTAATTTGTTCTGCTTATTAAAGATACACCTCTATCCATGCTGTGTTCGCGTGTTCTCGGCGTGTCATCAAGTGTAGCGTCCAAATCCTAATTTTTCGATATATAATCTAATGCATGCTCCAGTAACTTTCTTTCATAGCATTTTTCCATTCCTTTCTATCAGTATGAAGCCTATTTAGAAAGAAGAGTATGTACTMYAAAATRATCTCGTACCAAACTTTTTTTTTTACATTATTTCTAACTCTCTGTCTAATTTTAGTTTTGACAAATAATTGGTCACAAAGCTATTGTAAACCTTTGCAAATTGTTTTGGTCAGAAACTTATTCATCATTCAAAGTTGCCTGGAGCAAACTCATATTAATGCACTACGTCGTCCATTGATTGGATTACTTACCTATTTTTTTAGTATCTTAAACACTCACCTGATGAGCCTAAGTCAAAGAAAGATAATGGGATACCTTTAAGAAAAATAAAGATCAAGCTGGGAATTCAAATCGAAGAAATTTTGGTGAACTTAAATAGTTCAGGAAATTGAAAACGTGATCGTTACATCACCAAGTTTATTCAACAAGCAACGTGGAATATAAATTGAAAGTACCCCAGATTCACGTTTCACATCTCGTCCACATTCTATTTTGCATTAACGTTGTTTGCCAACGTTAAACAGATGTTTGACGGGTTTCGTATTTTTTGATTAGGTCAACGGAAGTCAACATTCGGAACTCAAGAGAATGGCGATCAAAAATTTTACAGCCGAGAAAGATAGTCGTTGGTTTGAACATCGGTACTGCACTGCAGATGTTACTGGTTCAATACACCTTTATTTGACAAGTATCTCTGTGGTAAACATCCTTTTATGCGTTACAGCTCTTTTGGGAAATAGCTTGAACTTGGTTTCCCTTCAGAAGGTGTGTTGCTTTCATCCGCCATCTAAAGTCTTGTTGTGTTGTCTGGCATTAACAGATCTTGGTGTTGGTATGATAGCGCAACCTCTCTTTGTGATCTACTTGATATCTTCGGTGAATGAACTCTGGGATATGTGTCGATATGCGTCTGCCATGATATCTGTAGCTGGGTACACGTTAAGTGGAGTATCTTTGTTGACGTTGCTTGCAATAAGCGCCGACCGGCTTCTCGCACTGTTGTTGAGGCTGAGATACAGGCAAGTTGTAACGTTGAGAAGAACATTTCTTACACTTACTATAGCTTGGCTTATTTCCTTTTCCGTCGGAGCAACCTACTTTTGGAATTCCATCTTGGCATTGTGGACCAGCGCAATAGCATTATTATGTTTGGTAATCTCAGGCGCCTTTTATATGAAAATATTCCTAAAACTCCGAAGTCATCAAACCCAAGTTCAAAACTTTGTTCATCATTCTAGCCTAGTGATACCCCAAAAGGTACTTAGGCATTGAAAGACTGCGTCCGGCACAATCTGGGTACAGTTGATTTTAACAGTTTGCTATATACCGTATGTTGCGTGGGCAGCCTTGTTCCTGAGGAATGAGAAGCTATCTCCATCTGTTATCATGAGCAAATATTTTACACTAACTTTGGTGTTCTTAAATTCGACCCTAAACCCCTTTCTTTATTGTTGGAAGTTAAGGGATGTGCGATAAAGAGACAATTAGGCAGAATCTTTGCTGAAAGTAGGGTAAGTTGCTCATCAGTTTGACTGAACTACTTTCAAGAGATGTCGGTTTGCGCAATATCGGCATGTCTGCTGAGTACTTAACGTACCCATGAATCTTTGGCCACTGCAAAAAATTTCATCATAACCACTCCTAGAACTTTATGTATTCATTTTTTACCTAAAATTCACAAACCTAAAAACCCGGGTCGGCCCATTGTCTCGGCTTGAAGTTGCCCTACCGAACTTATTTCCAGCTATTTAGACAAAATTATGGCTCCCATCGTCAAAGCTTTACTATCATATGTTAAAGACAGCCAACACGCTCTTCAAATTTTTCGCGACTTCAATTTGCTTGGCCAAGACAAACTTCTTTTCACTCTGGACATTACATCTCTTTATACTGTCATTCCTAATGGCGAAGGTCTTTTGGCCTCAAACATTTTTTTGATCAACGCACTGTTGAGGAACCTAAATCTGAAACACTACTTCGCTTAGCTGAACTAGTGCTCACACTCAATTGTTTTTCATTCGGGGAAAACTGTTTCAAACAAACCAATGGCGTAGCCATGGGTATCAAAATGGGACCCAGCTATGCCAGTCTTTTCGTAGGTTTTGTCGAACACCAATTTTTTCAGCCAATACAATGGCCCCAAACCTGAACTATACGGTCGCTAAATTGACGACTGTATCGGCGCTACCTCCTCTACTAGAGAGAAGGTAACTCAATTCATAACCGCAGTCAATTCCTTTCACCCGGCTCTAAAATATACCTGGGAAATTTGCGACAATTCTTAATTTTTTTTAGACATCAAAGTTTCAATTGAAGGCAACGGTTTATGTACAAGTGTGTATTACAAACCTACGGATTCACATAGTTACTTGCTGTATTCATCTTCGCATCCGTCTCATGTGAAGAATTCCATTCCCTTTTCACAGTTTCTAAGACTTTGTCGTTTATGTAGTGATGACTGATTTTTTTTCGAAAATCAGAGTCTATGTGCCAGTTTTTCGAAAAACGTGGTTACCTTGTTTCTGTCGTTCAAGCCGATCACCACCGCGTCCAACTTATTGACCGACAGTCAGCACTACAAACGTCACAGAAGGAAAATTTCGACCGCATTTCATTCACTCTCACATTTCACCCTCACAACCACTCAGTTAAATCTATTATTCCTAAAAACTTTCAATTACTTCAAAACGATCCAGAGACTGACATCATCTTTTCGCAAACTCCACTCATTTCATTCAAACTCGACAAAATCATAGGCAATCTTTTGGTCAGAAGTTCATTACAAACTAATGACCAACCCGCGCTCGCACACGATGCAAAAGTTGTCCTTTCATTCATAACGCTGAAAAAATATCGGGACCCAAACGATCCATTAAGATCACTGATCACTTCACGTGCACCTCAGCCAACGTCATCTATTGCATAACTTGCACTTATTGCAAAAGGATATACATCGGCGAAACAGGAAGACGACTAGGTGACCGATTCCGAGAACACCTTCGCGACGTAGAAAGGAATGACAAGGACGTACCAAAACCAGTCGCTAGACACTTTAATCTACCTAATCTTTCTAAGCAACATATGGCAATCTGCGGTCTTTGCTTATATTCAGGTAGTTCGGAAATCCGCAAAACTCTTGAACAAAAGTCTATCTTCTGATCGGCACTCTTAATTCCACAGGTATCAACGAACGCTTTTCATTCTACTAATTTATTCGTGTCTTTCTCGTCGTCATGTTCCCACCAATAGCTTAGCTCCACTTTCTGCATATAAACCCACACACAATTCACAATTCCTCCATTCGCTCTGACGAAGTGCTAACGCTCGAAACGTCAGCTTTTTAACTCTCTACGGCGGCCAATTTACAATTTCAACTTAGTCGATATTACCAAATTACCTTGTTATCCCCAACAACGCAGCACCACAGTTTCTTTAGAAACTTACTCCCTTTATTCATGAATTGTCGGTTCGAGGCATAACCTTGGAACACAAACTAAAGTAAATTTCAGAAATGTCGGTTAGCGTGACATCGGCATGTCTGCTGAGTACTTAACGTACCCATGAATTGTCGCTTCGAGGAACACAAACTGAAGTTAATTGTGAGTTTTTGCGACAGGGCATAGCTATGTCAATAAAGGTACGTTTTTGCGATTTTTGTTCACAGGCAGTTAGTTAGTCTTCTTCGTGCGTCTATTTACAGGTTTCCTTGAGGCGGTTTCTCTTTGGTCGGCCATCGGGAGTCCATTGGAGAGTATTTTTGGGAATAACGGTGTCATTCGGAGCACATGACTGGTCTATCTCCATCTTTTTCTCTGGCCCTGTAGCGTGATGGGTTCTGTGCCCATTCTTCTGTGCAACTCATCATTGGATATGATGTTAGGCCAAAAGATGCGGATAACTTTTCACAGGCATCTGCACTGGAATGCATCTACAATCAGCGACAAAATTGTTGACAAATTTTAAACCCCTATTTCTTTAATTTCATACTTATTGACCGTGGTAAGTTAACCTTCTCACCCTCTCCCCCCCAAAACCATGTTGTATCGAGACTCAGGAAACTTATAGCTTCATAGAGGCAAAATTGAATGGGGAGGGGGGGTTCTATGAATGATTTATACCATGGTACGAAAGGATGTGTTTTTTAGCACGTATTAAGCAGCTCAGGATCCAACAATAACAAGCACGTCATGTCTAAGCTCTTCTTCTATTGCAGTCCATAGAAAGCTCAGTTTTTTTTTTCCATAAGTCTTCGGTTGGTGCAGTTTTTGGAATGGGGTTGTCAGCCCCATGCCCAATCCCCTCCTTTCACATCTGAACTTGGGGTCGCGAAGCGCAAAATTGTACTATTATTTAATAGGCTTTCTGAAAGATTACTGTATAGGGTTCCCATGGGAACTGAAGTGTCAAGAGCGTCGGTTATTATGTGCTGTAATTCATATGGAGTTGATTGACCGATATGAATGACAAAGTGGTGCTTGAAACAAAAAAAAGTATACCTTTTCTTAACTATTAAGAAAGATTTACACTTGCTACGACAACTCTCAGGTTTGAATTGCATGAAGATGATTATGCATTAAAAACATCGAAGTAAGTTTTGGTCTTTTAGACATTTAAGCAACTTCTATACCCACCTAATCAGTCTGCCCATGAGATCGTCAAAGGAAGCTATTGATAATCAGTACAAAATATGCTGTCCTTGACCCTGGCTTTTCAAATTGACAAAGAATTGCCAGAGTACCAAGTAATGCTAAGAATGGTTTTGGAAAATTAAAGCCGTTTTTTTTTTAAATATAGGAGATATTTAAACCATTGTAGGTTCAAAGAATTGATGTGATTTTAATCTGTCCCTTACATTTGCCATTTGAATCAATTTTCTTTAAACTGTTTCTCACTACCAATTCTGAAGTCATCACCTGTCATTGAGAGGAGGCGATACTCATGGTACATGTGTCCTAATTGAAGTTACATCACTGGATAATTTGGTTCAATATTTTCAAAGTGTACATAACAATCATATATATGAGATTAAAGGTGTACATATCAACAAAGTTGAATGTAGTAATATGCTCTTTGAAAAGAATGGCATTGAAAGCACAAATTTTAACCTCAGTTACATTGTGGTTCTCTATTCAATTTGTTATTCTACAATGAAATCATGTAGCAACTGGGATCCAAATACCTTAAACAATATAATAGATCGGGGAAAACTATTATTTAGTCATTTCAGCTTAACTCATTATTGAAGACCAAATGATATTTCGTGCGCAATTGATGTGTATGGGGCTGATTGAGGTAACTTTTTAAAGTAATAATACTATAAATGGAAAAGTATTGTCTGATTCAGATGCGAGCAAGTGTATTCTTCAAGATATCATAAAAAATAATACTGAGAACACTGGATTTTTGATGTGGTTTTCAACTTATTGCATCAGTTCTAGATATATAGTATATCGGTTTTAGTTGTGCCACTTAAAATTATTTTCTATGAAGATCTGCACACTTGAAATGACGACAAGACCATACAAATTTGATTGATATAAAAATTAAAGATTTTATTAAAGAGAACCGCGAGGTCACGCAGGTATGCGTCTAGTTACTACTAGAGTAGTATTCATCACTGCGAAGACCACTTTCATCTTCATTAAATAATCTCCATTTGAGATACATGATATTGATATCCTCGCGAGGAAGATAGATAAGAAATGTAAGAGATCGATTGGAGATTAGTAGTATATATATTCGCTCGTTTTATTAGCAGGTTTGAATTGTCTTAAATAATGCATCATTGTTGGTTCGTAATAAACCCGTGAGGTGATGAATAAACGACTATGAAAGAGAGGTAACACTCTCTGTTAGGGATAATATTTTTCACGTGCTTTTCAAAGGCTTTTCAGACGCCTCCACATAAAAAAAGTACTGAAAAGACTTTGATTACAAAAACTGTGCGAAAGACGTTCAAGAACTTGTAACAAAGACAATTGCGTAATAACTTTTGTTATTATCGCATGATGTATACAACCTAGTGACACTGTCGAATATTCTTGTCCGCAATTTCATTGTATAGTGTTATAGTTCACCAGTAGCAGAGTTTTTTAGGAACAGTTTAAACGGATCTCGAAATCAGTTTAGTTTATTTTCTGGTGTTTTCGCGCGACCTATAAGTATGGTAAAGGTATGAAGATTGTACGTAGATTTTGCCTTAACAAGCTGCCTGGGCACACCAAAACATGCGTCTAATTAAGAAAGTTTACTAAAATGGGTCAAAATAACGTTAGAGTTTTATTTCGTCCCGTTTTTTTCCACACAATTAACTGAAAAAAATTCTAAATGCTCAGATTTTTGTAAAATATACAGCCTCGGTCTGAAAAAGATAAGAAGAGCCAGTACAGCACCCAGACCGACGCGTGCTCCCGATCGGACACTAATTAAGAATTCCTAATATAGCACGCTTTGTGTTTTGTCTAAGACGCTGAAGAAAACAAATGGTATGGCATGCCAACTTTTCGAAAACAATGTGGAATGGGTGTCTTTCTTCGTTCTACAAATTAAAGATGCACATCTACCTGCCGCCTAGACGTGTTGACAGCCTGCTTCCATCCTTAGCCTTTAAAACCCACTTAGTTCTATGTAGTATCAGCTCGGTAATTGCCCTATTATGAAAGAAATTCTCCTCCACCCTGTCTTAACTAAATAGTCTTCGACTGAAAATGAATTTCACAGGAACTTTTTTTTCTTTTTTTAATTTCCAGTTTTCTTATGTCAGCATAGACAAAACATCGATCTCTCAATAAAAAAAATCTCTTGCCAAAACTATGCAAATTGTTATCGTAAGAAGCTTATTAATTATTGAAAGTTGGAGCTAACGCACTGTCCCTTTGATTAAAATGGAAAACATTCCTTACACATGCCGTCTTCCGTCGGTTTGTTACATATTTATTACACCTTGTGACGAAGAAAGGTGGGAGGTGGTCTTTTAAAAAGGGATCATATTTACATCAAATTGTAGAAAAATTAAAATTCATCATTCTTTGAATCATAATGGGTGCTGGTAGGTGAATAATAAATGAAGTTCGGGAATTTAAAAAACCTTATCGCTACTTCAGAGTTTTATCGTACACCCATTTCAACGTAAAACGTGGAAAGTGAAATAGCATTAAAAGAAACTTAGATTCACGTTTCACTTTTCATGTACATCCAATTCAGCGCCATGACTTTGTTGACGTGGATTATATGTTTGACAAAAACAATAGGACATGTTTCAATAAAGGTAGGTTTATGTCTGCCAAGTGTAATGACTCTGAGTGGGTTGCTGAATGAATTTATTCCGATAATTAAGACTTGAATTACACGATAATCTAACCACTGATCCAAGCACGTGTAACACTCATTTGCATAAATGCATCTCATTACACCAAGTACTTTCAAAATCCCATTAATTGTCGCTATGCATAGTACTGGAACACAGACTAGAGCAATTTGTGAGTTTTTTTTTTGCAAAAAGGCATAGCACCATCAATATAAAGTGTAGGTTTTTGCAGTTTTTGGTCAAAAAGTGGAAGACATTGCTTCTATTTACCAGTTTTCGTGGAAAATTACAGTGTGGGGTTCGCAAGAGACTTGTATTTAAAGGGAACCTCCACTATTTTTACAAATATCGGCTAAAATGTTTCAAATGTACTTATTAGAAGATCTGAGATAAAAAAGTGTCTCACCTAGTAAGATTAATTTTTTAACGTCCTCCAAATATAGGCCCTATGGCCCGTTTAAAATCCCCGCGGCCACCATCTTGAATGGCGCGCAATGCATTACAGGCTGATGACGTATCGTGGTTGCTTCGCTTTGCTTGGTTACCCACTGTGTGTTTTGTGTGCAGAAAAAAAATAGGGAAAGAGATGTCGCAGATACTCCCTTATCAGCTGGAACCAGAGCACTCATCAACCGACGAAAGAAGCGAAAGTGAGGAAAAAGACGACGATTCTGTTGTTTCAAATGCAGATACGAGCGATCGCCGTTTGAACACGTCTTGGTGCCTTTGCGAACGGTGCGCTATTATGCTGACTGAATTTGAATCTATTTGCAGCAAAGAGCCGGCATTTTTATCGAAATTGATTGAAGGTAATGTGTGAATCAAAAGTGTTAACTTTGCTTACATCTTGTTTTGCTTTTGTTGCTTTTTTAATGAAGAGTCTTACCAGACTTCGCAGTTGATTCCTTACTGTTCAGTAAGAAATATTTACTTTTACCAGTTTACCACTTGTCCACCATTAAACTTGGAAAGTATTCTGTCTTTGTTTTATCACGTCTTGGTTTTTTTTGTTTGTTTTTTTGTTTTGGGCGCCCTTCTACTCATGATTCGTGCGAATTAGTAGAAGAGGTGGACATAAGAGTTGACTGTGGATTTTCTTTCCAGGTTTGTCTTGCATTACCGAGCACGGTAGTTTCCTGTCTGTATGCCTTAACAGGGATGTTTTGTGGACAGCGTTGGTCAGTCTCCATGATCGAGAAAGTGCTGTTCTTCCTGATAGGCTGCAAGTATGCAACAGGTATGCTTGAACTGTGCTTGAGTATTTCAGACAACTCCGCTTATTGTGTCAAAATCTTTTTCTTTTTTTTGGCCTCCGTTAAGTGTGCACTTGACAGTCTTAATGTTGTCTTTGATTAGATTACGTGTAAGTGTCAAATTCACTGAAAAAAAAAATTCTAACAAAACGCATTAAAATAGAAGTTTTATAGAATAGTTTGTTCAGGTTTGGAACATAAATATACTGAATTGTATTCTCTCCATATTTATCTACTTTTTGTAAATTAGGTCATTGAGATATGCTGCATACAGACAGTTTACCTGGTGGGTCCATGGCTATCTTGGAAAGAACATTCGGCGTGTGATACCATCTTGTACAGTCAAGAAAATTAGAGCTGAATTTCCTGCACAAGATGGTGCATACGCAGGATACATAACAGGAGAGGAGGATGACAGTGCCTTTGATGGTGAGATGGAAGAAGCATGGAGAGATTTTCTAAATATCTAAAACGGACTTTAAAATTTATCTGTTCAAATAATGTATTTGTCAGGGAATTATAGGGTTTCAAACAGAATGAAGACGTGTCAAACAATATTGATTTGTATATTTATATCTATATATATTTACTTCCCTGACTAGTGAAGTACAGGACTGTTGTAGGTAACTGAGCAGACAACTGAAAAATGGTCTTTTGCTTCAGTCTAAGCTGAGAGTCTAAGTAGAAGGAATATGCAACCGTAGCTGTGTTAATTATAGTTACAGGGTGAATCTGTAACCATGCTGTTTACTTGTAGGTAATTTTTGGGTACACATGATGAACACTATTGAATGATATACCATTGACTGGTTTCCTTCAAAATTTAATTTAATTTATTCTCATGGCTTGAATTAACAGCAAGAATAATTCATAATACTACAAGGACAGCCAATTTATTGTTGACAGATATATTTAATGACCTTACTGGAAGTAAGTAGCTGATCAACTTAATGTTTTTGTACAATTTGATTGATGAAGTGACATATTCTTGATAACACTACCTTTTCGGTAAAAGTACCCTTATTCTCTGGAAGTTTGCAAATTACTATTGATTGAATAAAAAGGAACCTCAGTTGAGGATTTGTAGCAAAAAGAACTTTCCAGAAAAACGTTTCCTTTAATGATGCCTCCAGCAATGATCTGTACATGCTAATTAATTTGCCCCCATTTATTGCAATTCTGGAAATAATTTTGATCATATAAAGTAGAGGGGCAAAGAGGTTTCCATTAATTTACTTAAAACGAGACAACTGTACTCTTCTGTCAATAATATCCTTGCGACTCGGCATTTCTAGTGGGGCAATGATGCCTGACCGTTCTTTGAGCCTTGGAGCAGGCTTTACACCTGAAGCTGCCAAATGAAGAGCTGCTTGCAACATTTCCTTTAGATATTCATAGGATTTCTCTTCCAGAACTGGATCAGCTCCAAATGTCTTTGATACTTTCTTCTAGGATATCTTGAACCTTGGTTCCCCCTGACATTCACCAGCTTGGATTAAGGCCTAATTTACGGGAAGCAAACAATGGGCAATTGCAGAAACACGAGAGGACTGGGAAGGAGTATGTTTGTTTACGTTTGTTTGAAAAACTAAAATATTCAAATGAAAGATCAACTCAATTTGAGAGTCTTCATCGCAAATAGAAGTCTCTGGAGGAGGAAAATGGTAACCATTTAAATGTTAAATAAAATAGAAATAAAATAGATGTTAAATAAAATAGAAGTCTCTGGAGGAGGAAAATGGTGACCATTTAAATGTTAAATAAAATAGAGATTTGTAAGCTGTAATTGCAGTGACAATGTAAAGACAAATATAACAGAGAGTGGTGTGCTTACAAACCTCTTGTCGTTGTCTCTTCTCGACGCGTCTACTGCTAGAAGGGCGAGCAGACCGCGCTGGTTTGTGGGGAAAGATCGTGGGAATAGCTTCAGGCTTAAGATTTCTCTTCCAGGGGCACGATCCAAGCAGCTCATTCTGAACTCTCACTGTGTCTTCGAAGCAATCAGCATCGAAATGCTGCGAACACTAACGGGGATATTTTGGTAGCGACGTTCTTCCCACGGCTTGAATTCGAGCACAGCGTAAATCATCTTTCGGGCGGAAAACATGAAAACTTATGCTCGTGTCTTTTCTGTTTTTCGCTTGGTTATTGCAACGAAAGGCTACACAGTGCGGCATTTTGACTGTACGAAGCAACCACGATACGTCATCAGCCCGTAATGCATTGCGCGCCATTCAAGATGGCGGCCGCGGGGATTTTAAACGGGCCATAGGGGCTATCTTTGGAGGAAGATAATAAATTAATTTCTCCAGGCGAGACACGTTTATTTCAGATCCTCTAATAAGTACATTTGAAACATTTTAGCCGATATTTGTAAAAATGGTGGAGGTTCCCTTTAAAGCCCATAGGTTATTTCAACTCGAGTGCTTTGAATTAACGGCACAGTTTCGCCCGAAACAATGATTTTTTTTCCGCTTTTAGTGAGAAAAATTCTCGCTTGCTCTTTGAAGTGATGTTCGTCCTTCGCTGGCGAAGAAGACCATGACTTCGAATCACTGGGGAGTGGGATGGGTGCGGAGATGGCTGATAAGTCCAATCTTCGCGCGGAAGTGTCTGACGCAATGCAGGTAGGGGATGCTGGGGACTGGACCAGGTTGAGGGTTTGAATTCCTTTCCTTTCTTCTCTGACGACTCTGATCTTTCTTACGGATGCAGTTGACCTCGAATGCCAGCACTCCCACTATCACAAGCGAGCGCCATGCAGGACGGTCTTCAGCAATCGCTTCTCATGTGGTGCAGGGAATGTCATGCGCTTAAGAGACTCTTTCAGAGAGTCTTTGTATCGTTTGTTTGGCCGACCGAGTGGGCGCTGTCCTGCTGTAAGTTCACCAAAGAGCAGTCTTTTTGGGAGTCGGCTGTCGTCCATTCGTCGGACGTGGCCTGCCCACCGGAGCCGACAGCGCAGAAGAATGGCGTGGATGCTCTCTGACTCAGCACGCTGGAGGACTTCAGTGTCTGGTACTTTGTCCTGCCACCTGATGCGAAGCAAGGTCCTCAGGCATCTCATGTGGAAGGCGTTGAGTTGTTTGGCGTGCCGGCTGTAGACAGTCCATGTCTCGCATGCATGAATCAGGGTTGGGAGAACAACGACCCTCTACACAGACAGTTTGGTTTCGAGCTTTAGGCCCCGGCGCTCCCAGACTTTGTCTTTCAGTCTGCCAAAGGCAGCACTGGCTCTGGCTATTCGGTAGGCCACCTCCGCGTCGATGTTGACAGAGCGCGACAGAGTGCTACCAAGATAGACGAACTTGTCTGCTAAATCGAGTCTCTGACCGTTGACGGTGATGATGGGTTCAATGTAGGCCGTTGCAGGTGCTGGCTGGTGCATGACCTCGGTCTTTTTGGTGGAGATGGTGAGACCATTGTGCGAACAGGTCCATGCTTTCCTGCGTATCTGACTCTGTGCTAGCGTTGAGCGCACAGTCATCAGCAAACAGGAAGTCTCGGGCTGTGTCCACGCGTACTTTGGTCTTGGCCTTTAGTCTCCAGAGGCTGAAGAGGCTGCCATCAGTACGGTATCGGAATCTGACACCTACGTCTACGTCACGGAAGTCCGGGGGGAAACTGGGTGCCTTTGAGGTCACCTTGAAAAATATCTCGTAAAAAGTGAAAAAACCAGACTGGTTCAAAATAAACGCAATATTTTTTCATGGGATAGAAGTCTCGACTTTTACAGTAAAAATTAGGGAAATCGGTGAAGGTCCGAAATTTGCCTTATCCGTTCTTAGGCGGACAGCCTCTTAACATTCTTCTCTCTCTAACAGCGATCGTTGGAAATACTTTGATTCTGTTTGCCCTTCTAAAAGCTTCTACACTTCATCCGCCTTCTAAAATTCTATTTTGGAGTTTGGCAATGGCTGATCTTTGTGTGGGATTTCTTGGCCAGCCCCAGTATGTTGTATATATTATTTCTCAGTTGACCGAGCAATGGAGTATCTGCCACCGTGCGTTGGTTGCAAGCTTCGCTACAGGATCAACGCTCGGTGCTGTATCACTGGTAACTTTGACTGTAATTAGCGTTGACAGACTTCTTGCACTGAAGTTGGAAATGAGATACAAACAGATTGTGACTTTAAAGCGAACATATTTAGTCGTCATTACCTTTTGGATTTTGTCTCCCGTCACCACAGCACTGTCCTTTGTTAATTACATGCTAACATTAGGGGGCACTTATTTAGCAGTTTTACTTTGCCTTCTTATTTCAATGTGTTGCTACACAAGTATATTCCGCACACTCCGTAAAGTGCAGTTCCATTTTCAAGATCACCCACAAGACCCAACTCGTTCTCTGAACGTAGGGCGATTCAAAATGGCGGTGTATGGCGTAGTGTGGATTCAAGTGATTTTAGTCGGTTGTTATTTACCTTATGGTATAGTTAGCGCTTTATGGTTCAATATGGGAATGACATCAGTTGTATTTCCCGTGGCCCAATGTGCAATTACTTTAGTTTATCTTAACTCATCGCTAAACCCTTTTATTTACTGCTGGAAGATTACTGAGGTTAGAGAAGCAGTGAAAGAGACGCTCCGACAATTATTCCTTTAGTTCCCACAGCGAATAAGTTGTTCATCTAAATTTCAGTTACAAGAAAAATTCTTCATGACGGAATTTTAGAGTGTAGTTTGATGTTAAGTAACATTTCTTTTCTTATTTGTTTAGTCAAGCATATCTAGATACATTTTTGCTCCTCGTTTGTGATAGAACTGACATGTTCAGTTATTCGAATGAAAGAACTGGTTAAAACTTGGCTCTTAAAGAAAATACTTTGATAAAAACCTTTGCAGTGTCATCCGTGGTAACAGCCAACTTTCCAAAGGCAAAATAAAAACATAATCTGGGATGAACAAAAACGATATACTTTTAAATTTTAAAAGTGGTTCGGTTTGTTGTTGCGTGTCCATTTAATTTGTAACTAGAGGTCTATTTGTTTTGATTTGTTGTGCGCTAGTCATCCATGAATTTATCCTTTGCTCAACGAAGCCACTGCATGGTTGAGGCACCTAAAAGATTAAGGGCGGTTTATTTACACGGTCACCAAGGGTAACCTAAACCGCAAAAAGTGGGCCTCAGGGATTCTCTGTGAGAGGGTTGATTTAATTAGATAGATGTCCTTCCACTATTAGCTTTCGACCTTTTGACACTATTCACAAAAATCAGTGTTCAGATGAAAGGTTTGGCTAAATTGAAGATGGCTTAGAACGCAGTTTTGTTAAACAAGGGCTAAACTTTGTTTAAATAACCGGCCTTTAATTTGACTTGTTTAAATTTATCGTTTGCATGCTGTGACGTAAAGAATCTGTCATCCTTGACCCTTTAACTCCCATGGGTGACCAAAGCTGAAGTACGTAAGTGATGGAAACAAAGTGAAAAAAATCAATATTAATTAGGGAAGTATTACGCTGATCCAATACGAACCTCTTGGAATTACCATGATAAGAATTCCATGGCACTCAATAAGGAGAATTACTTGTGAGATCTTGTTAGTGAAAAGGTTAACCAATCTGATCTCTTTTAACTTTATCTTTACTTTTTTCTAAAGTGTTTTTTTTATCAAGGCAAATTGAACTGAC